CTAAAATCAACACTATCTCTGTTATGCATGTTAAATGTATGTTATGTATCTATGTATGTTAAGTTTGTACAAGAATGCATTATGCATAGCTACAAATATAACATATTGACGCACTATCTGGAAATCTATAGAGACCTGCTTATATTAACTGAAAACTTGTTGCGGTTGAATTCTTTGGATTCATTTGTAATGTTTTATTTTAAGAAAGTTTTCGGATAAATTTAGAGCTAAATAAACTGAAGGAGATCATTAATATACTCTGCCCACAGCTTAACCTCTTCCTTTTGACAATTCAGAAAATATCTCGAGTCTCAAAAGGATTCGTGCGCGCTTTCTAATTATATCGTAGCAACATTTATTTCGCAAAAACGAATCACGGCATTACGATCTCTGACCTACGCTTTTAGCTCCATTTTCTTGGAATATTTTCGCTTCCAACGTGGCATACGATTGACGCTGGATTCGGTGGCATCAGGCCAAAAGCCTTTATCCTCAGCGCCATCTGAAAAACACACAAAGAACCATGATTTCGAGCATCTTTGGAAACTTTAGCAATGTTAAAGAACTCTCAACCCAGACTACTCGTTTGAACTTTTTTAGGACGTTGATCCTGGCACCCAGCAGACAGCCAGGAATGTTGAATGAACATTTTTAGGAACAAGTCTATTATCAACGAAAATTATATAAAACATGTGAAATCAGAATAAAAAATCAATGGAAACGTTTTACAAATTACGAAGGATTTAGTTTATTAACTGATTTAATTAAGTATATTATGTTTACACTCGGGGCCATACTTAGGAGATAACCGCGATAAATCAATTTGTGAGTTCTTTCTACTTTAAAAATTGGTGTAATTCCTCCAATTTTTACTCTTAAGAATTTTAAAACTGCAACAATTTCAGATATTTTATACCAGAACCGCAAACATTTAGGTAAGTCGCAAAAAGTTTAAATCGATTAAAATTTTTAAATTTACTGATTAAAATTTTAAAATTCGAACAATTTCTGTTATTTCATACCAGGGTCCCAATTATTTAAGAAAGTTCTGATATGTGACTATAAAAGAAAGGAAGTTGATATAATTACACTCTATTGTTTATCTTCATAACATGTTTGATAAATTAAACTACAGTGGAGCATCATTTATACGACGATCGTTTATACGACGCTTACATACGTTTTAGTGTGGTCCCAATTCATTCCTATTCATTTTAATGTAAAAATATATCGTTTATACGACGTTTTAGTGTGGTCCCAATTCATTCCTATTCATTTTAGAGTAAAAATCTATCGTTTATACGACGTTCACATTTATACTACGTTTCAGTGTGGTCCCAATTCATTCCTATTCATTTTAATGTAAAAATATATCGTTTATACGACGTTTACATTTATACTACGTTTTAGTGTGTTCCCAATTCATTCCTATTCATTTTAATGTAAAAATATATCGTTTATACGACGTTTATACATTTATACTACGTTTTAGTGTGGTCCCAGTTCATTCCTATTCATTTTAATGTAAAAATATATCGTTTATACGACGTTTACATTTATACTACGTTTCAGTGTGGTCCCAGTTCATTCCTATTCATTTTAATGTAAAAATATATCGTTTATACGACGCACAGAATCGGTTATATGTCGGTTTTTAGATTTTGTTTACGTTCATTTCACTTTTATTCTTGACAGTAAACACGGGTCTTTTCTATCATCTAATGCCGAATCAGACATAAGCTTATAAAGGCGAAAAATGTAAAGGAGGGAAAAAAAGCAAAGATCTCCTTACTGTGCTGCTTTGTGTAAACTCTGATGGAAGTGAAAAGATCACTCCTTTAGTGGTAGGAAAATCAAAATATCCCAGATGTCTATAGAATATCAAAACGCTTCCGCTGGATTATGACGCCAATAAAAATGCGTGGCTGACGATCGAAATTTTTACTAGCTGTCTGAAAAAACTAGACAATGTTATAAGGAGGCAAAAACTAAAAATTTTGAAAATTTATCGACCAATATCCAGCTTACTCCTCGGATATTAATTTTTTGGAAAATGTGAAAGTTCACTTTTTTCCTGTAAACTGCACAAGTGTGCTTCAGCCATTAGATTTGGCCGTGATTAGAAATCTAAAATTGCAGTATGGAAAGCAGTTAGTTCAACTCACTATTTGAAGCATTGCAGAAATCCCAAGAAAATAAGTGTTCTCCAAGCAATGAACTGTTTTATAAAAGCTGGATTTACCCATCGAACATCCGATGATAATGTGGGTGATGACGTAAGCGATGATGATACAATAATTAATTATGATGATTGAAGTTTGCTCGCAACAGAGACAACTTTTGATGAATACATGGATTGCGATGAGAATGTAGTAACGGTAGCTATTTGCACTGCTTATGAGTTAATTCAGAACACACTGTCTGAGCCACATAGTGACAGCCAGAATGACGAGGAATGCCAAGAAGTTGTTCCGCCATCTTTTCAAGATGCAATGAATTCCATTGAAACACTAAGAACTTATTTTCTTTACAACAATGCTGGAGAAAAAAAATTTCAGGACCTTAATTCCTTGCACAAATCATTAAATGCAGCTCAACGTCAATCATCACATAAAACAACCTTATATAATTTTTTCTGTAAACTTAACGTGATATGATAAAGTGAAAAAAAAACAAAAAACAAATATGGAGTATCAAAAAAAAAATTATAAATAAATAAAGGTAACGTATATTCAAATTACTTACTGAAATGTTTCATTTTTTTATGGTTATTTGTTTGTTTTGCTTCGTCTAATTTAGAAATTTATGTAAATCAACACGTTAAACATTTAAATTAACTGAAAACAGAGTTAGTTTCCAGTTTTGGAAGTAAAAATCGATTTTACGACGTTATCGTTTATGCTACGTTTTCCAGTGGTCCCTTCGGCGTCGTATAAACGATGCTCTGCTTATATGAATGTTTTTAAACTCCTTCGAAGGGAATGAAATATTAAAATTTTATCTAAATATCGAATATTTATTTCTTGACAGCTTTAATTAAATAATATTCATGTATTTTAGAAAACGAATTCTCGTTGAATTCGAGGTAATAGTAACAAAAGTTTAATTGTAGATTTTTGAACATTTTGAAACAATCCATTTATCAAAAAGCTCCCCATTTATTAAACCCTTCCCCATTAATCCTCATTTATTAGAAACACCCCCTCCCCAATAATTAAATCTGATCGGATTCGTTCATTAGATGTTCTGATTTAGCGGCATTATTATTAAACTATCATTGAAATTTCGAAAGTTTAATAATAAAATTATTAAATTATAAATCTCTTTGAAGCGATTCATTCCAGCTGTAGACCGTGGCTATGTAAACAATCGTGAAGTAGTTACAACTCAACAGTTGGAAAAGTTTCTCCTGTTTATCGTTCGTGAACTGAACTTACTTGCACTATTTTCTTGCGTTAATTGGCAAGAAACTGCTTTAGTCAAAAATGATATTTTATGAAAAAAATTAATTTCTTGCTTTCTTCCATAAATTTTTAGGAGAGTTTTAATAGGTGGCAGTAAAAGTAAGGAAGTAAATATTATTTCCCTTTATTAGTTATCTGCATAACATGTTTGAAAAATTAAACTATATTAGTGTTTTTAAACTCTTACGAAGGGAATGAGATATTAAAATTTTATCTAAATATCGAATATTTATTTCTTGTCAGCTTCAATTAAATAATATTCGTGTATTTTAGAGAAAAGAATTCTCGTTAAATTTGAGGTAACAGCAACAAGAGTTTAATGTAGATTTTTGGATATTAAACCAACCATTTATTAAAAAGTTTCATGTTGATCCCCAATTATTAAAAAGTCCCCCCCCCCAATAAAGGAATCTGAACAGATTCATTGATTAGATGTCCTGATTTAGGGACATTACATATTAAACTATTATTGAAATTTAAGAAATTCAATAAAAAATTACTAAATTATAATTTCCTTTGAAGCGATTTCCAGCTGCCTATCGTGGCTATGCAAACAATCGTGAAGTAGTTACAACAATACAGTTGAAAAAGTTTTACCTGTTTATCAGTTGAAAACCGAATTTATTTGATATGTTTTTTTTTTTTTTTTTGCATTATTTGACATAAAATTGCAGTGCTCAAAAAGGATATTTTATAGAAAATATATTAATTTATTGTCCTTTGCCATAAATATTTGGGCAATGAAGGCAACGTATTTGGGAATTCGTTGCAATGAAGGCAAGGAAGTTAATATTATTTCCCTTTATTGTTTATCTACATAACATGCTTGAAAAATCAAACTATATTAGTGTTTTTAAATTCTTTCGAAGGGAATGAAGTATTAACATTTTGTCTAAATATCGAATATTTATTTCCTGATAGCATAAATTAAACAATATTCATGAAGTTTAGAGAAAAAAAATTTCGTTAAATTCGATATAACAGTAACAAGACCTTATAATGTAAATTTTTGAACATTAAAACAACCATTTACTAAAAAGTTACCTATTAAACCCTCAATGTTGCTAAATTAGGACATCTAACCAAACGAATCTAATCAGATTCATTATGCATCATCAAACTGCAACTTTTGTTTGATGCAATACCTACCATTTTGTTGACAACACATCTACCATTATATATATATGAACAACGTACCTACCCATTATTTCCCTACTTGACAATGTAAATCAGATTCCAGTTTTACTATTGAAAAATATATTCTGTTATTATCAAAGTCGTCGAAAGCTTTTGTACATCATTTTGTTTTTACATGTACTGTTGTTTTAACATTAAATCCTTTTCATTTGTTTAAAACGGAAAGCTAGCTATAGTGCCAATAGCATTTGCAATTATCAACTGTCGTTATAAGGTACTTTTACTATAATTATTTTCCTTAATTCCGATTTCTTTCTTCATTGATGCTTTTCTACCCTTTCACATGAATCGAATGACGTAAGACGAGGTATACGTTCGCGGGACTGTTTTTTATTTCTGGATTGCGGCGGTGAGTGTGTCAATGTGTGTGGGGTCTGTTGAAAAGCAAAATGTTGGATGACGAGAGAGGCGACGTGTCATGTGCCCCATCGTTGTTTGGATAATGACGCAATTCTTCTTTTTCTGAATTTAGTTGAGTAACCCACGAGGTGATGCCTTCATTAGAGAAGATACCTCAACGAAAAAGAGGATGGTTGAAAATTAGCTCTCCATCTGGATATAACACAAAAGGTGAGTCGCATGCTTTCACGCAACACTTTTCTCCTACGCAATATTTTTTAATTAAAATTTAAATGATTTCAATTTTTTAAATCATATTAAAACAATTCATGCTTTTATTTCTTCAATTTTCAAATTCTTTTTGAAAAATGTTTCAATATTTTCTTTGAGTCAAAAGAACCATGGAAAATTATCTGTTTAAAAAATTTTAATTTGCATATCATTGTTTTTCATTCATTTTTTTTTAAATTAATAAATGAATAATTATGAAATTACGCGTTCATGAACAAACAAAATACTTCTAGTTGATTTAAAGGTAGATATTTAGACCAAATCGGGTATTGATGACTATTTGAAAAATAACGAGTAAAGCAAAAAAGAAAAAAAAAGTTAACAAAGTTATTTAAACAAAATTTTGCCAAAGTAGTTTTATGTGCTCTGAGATTTTTTTTCGTTACGAACATTAATATTTTTTATTGTAATAATGTTTTGTTAAAACGGTTTGCAGGAAAGCAATATATATGTATATGAATATTAAGAAAAACTGGAATCGACACTCCTATTTATAATACACAAAGGAAATTAAAAGTAAGCATTTTTTGCTTTAAGTGGAACTACAAATTATGAAAGATGCATATTATCAATTTTATCACTTTCTTCGCTCGTGAATTTAATTCTGTTATAATAATTTAAGGCAAGGTACTTAACTTCAAAAAATTTTTAATAAATAGTAGCAAAAGCGCCAGCAAAAGAATTATCTTGTAGAATCCCTATTTTTTGTTTAAAAAAATCAAGGCCATTAAAAAGAACATTTTCAAAAAGATTAAATTTACAAATATCTATCCAATAAAATTTATCAATATTTTCATTTATTAAATATTTATCATAAATGCCACTACAAATATCAAGTATTTGAGCGTGAGGTATACTGGTATAAAGATTTTCAAAGTCAATTGTATTAATATTAAAAACCTCATTTTTTCAATAAAATTCAAAACATCAACCTTACTATTAATAACAATATTATTCTCACTTTTAATTTTAAGTAAAATAATATTAAGAATATTAAAAAACTTTTTACTAACACTAGAATTATAACAATTAGTACCTTAAGCAATAAACCTGAATGTTTTTGGATTCTTATGAAACTTTACAATTGGAAGTAAATAAGGTAATTCCATTCAATTTAAATTTCAATTTTTTACTGAAAGCAATAATCCTTTCTTCAATAGCTTTTTTGTCATAACTTAATTTAAAATAAGTATTATTAGCATTATATTCCTTAATAATTAATTTTTAAAAAAAAATTATTTACACAAAATACAAAAGTTATTAGAAACTTTATCAACAACTGTAATAATAAACTTATTCTTAAGCATTTTAATTTTCTCAAATCATTATCAATAACGGCACCACTAGGATAAAAACAAAATTTGGAATTATTTAAATAATATTTAACTTTTTTCACAATCCTTGTCTTCCATTCTGTAAAACTTTCAATAGGTCAATGATATTTTCTAGAAACTATAGCAATAAAACAATCAAGATCTCTTTTTACCGATAAAATAAAAATCATCATTTCTCATTTTGAACCTTGTTCTAAATTTAGATCCTCTACTCAAAATACTAATCAAATCTTGATCTCTACCAATCTCTAAATTCCTGGTAATAACATGACCATAATCTTTATCAATATACTGAGAAAATTCGTCTATTTTACAAAAACAGAATATAATTCAAATTCCGACTTAAAAAATTATAATTACAAACTTTTTTTCTAAGAGTAGAGGAATATTTATAAGCAACTATATCTTTAAGTTGTTTTAAAGAAAAAATATCAGAAAAACAATGAATAACCTGTGAAATCCTAGCATTCTCAAATTTTTTATCATGAAAGTTAATAATACAAAAACATTAAATGTTGAGCATTTAGATTTTAAAATTGATATTTCTAATAATCAAATTAAAATTGGTGTTTATGATAAAAGGAAAGCTTTTAAGTTTAAGGATATTTTTTTCCGTAATTTTAATACCAATTTGTAAAGTAAAATTTTCAAAAATATAGTTTTTTCTCAATTGTCTAGAATTAATAAAATTTGCAATAATGTTGAATGCTTTCAAGAGGCGACAAGTAATTTTTTTAAAAATCTGGAAAGTAATGGTTTGCCTTTTAATATTTCTGTAATATTAAATTTTAATTAAAGAAATGATTAAAAATTATTAGTTTTGTTTTCTCTTAATAGGGCATGATCGAGTCTTAGCTGAGTTGCCCCAGTTAAGCATTTCTATTATTGATGGCAAAAGCTTTCTTTTTCTTTTCTTTTTTTTTTTTCTGCTCATTAAATTAGGGGACGTTGTTTTTTCGTTAATTCCTATTTAGTTGAGGATTTGTAGTGTGTTGTGTTCTTTGGTTTTGGGATTTATAACTTTTAAGTAAGTTTTTGAACATTGTTTTCTTTTGTATTAATAGTATTATATTTCGGTTTTTGTAATTTGTATTTTATTTTTTCTCTACCTGAACTTTTGACAAAACCTTTGGGGTACAGATAGAGCAACTTAGACATTTGTCGTACTCTCTCGATAGAAAAGGTTTTGCATTTATGACATCCGGGGCTTGTGCCCCCTGACGACGTCAGCTTCGGTTGTCATATTTTCATTTTTCGTTGTTTACCTCGTTATTTGTAGTATTCTTTAAATGGTTTGAAATACATTAATGGCAAACTTTTATCAAATTCCTTAGTTATTGTCAAAAGTATCATGTTGATAACGTTGTAATTTTAATGTAAAATTGAAGTATGGAGTGATTAAAGTTCGTTGCATTTATTTTATATCATTTATTAGCAATAGTAAAAAGAGTTCAAACCTCTACATAACTTCAGTTAATATTCTGAAGTTTATCTTCATAACTTTTAAACAAAGATTAACTGTTGGTTAATACGTGAGTTAGTCAATTATTTCAAAACTAAATTCTTTGCTGTAATTTAAATTGAATCATTGCCTTAAAAATTATACCAAAATTACATAAAGTATACAGTAAAAGTTTGACATAAAGCATATGGCATGTTACAAGAAGCTTGATATTACGACAATTTTTTCAATTACTGTCAAAATAAATTAAAAATCAGAAAATAAATTTTTAAATTAAAGAACAGTACAGTTTATCGAACTTTTTTCTATTAAGGAATAAAAAAGAGTATTCAATTTTAATATTTTTACATAAGAATATCTATTATATAAATGGATTTTTTTTAATGAAATACAATGTTGTTTTATATTATTTAAAAATGTTTTAAGACTTTTCAATGCTTACTTAATAAATAATTTTCTTTATCAGTTCGGAGTTACTGAATGTTTTTTTAATATGATGTTTGTCATCTATATGTTCAGTCGTTGGGCAAAATAAGAATGCTTTGGAAAATAATTTTTAAGCACGCCCATTTTATATAAAAAAAACAGACCAACTATCATTTTTGAAATTGAATACATTTACAAGACAATAATATAAAAGTATTTCGTTCATGTCTTTGTATCTACGCAAGGAAATAAGAATGAGAAAGAGAATAATGTTTTGAGAAAACTATTTCTAATTCTCTCAAAAAATAATGTATTTTCAAAATAGTTTTATCATCAAAATATTATCTGATTTATAAATATGTTAAACGAGTGAAATATTTTCATTTACTTTAAGTACAGGCATTGATTATTAAATTTCTGACTTTTTTTTTTCCTTCTTTTCATCTTACTTTTTTTAATTGTTGTTCTTGTATTATTTTTATTGTTCAAATTCGTTGGATGGTTGTTAAATAATTAATTGAAGTTAACATGGCAATTGAGTACTTGCAACTCGGAAGAATGCTTGATTAGGTCCAACCGTGGGATTTAAATCACATGTTTGGGTCTAATCAAGTGGTTGTGCTTGGCCGGTTAACGTTACAGTACTTAGGTTTCGTTTATTGTCACGCTGAATCTATTTCGGATTAGATTTAATAGGATACCTGCTGGAGACGTCGCACGTGTCTGTCGAACTTGATTGGCTTTTGAATCGTGGCGTGAACGAATGACCCGATTCACCCACGATGACGTCGCTTGCAAGGTCGCATCGTTAGATTGAGACCGATTCTATCAAGTTAGTAGTACAAATAAAAGTAATTATCTTGAATGGTAAGGAATGTGTTCTACGTTTTTTCTTTATTTATTCCAATGATTAACAAAATACCGACTTTTGGTACTCGATAGAAAGTATCAAGTGTTCATTTAAGTATGTTAATATATCCTTTTTTTATGTATTCAAGCTCTACTCTAAAGTAGTAATTTTATGTGTTTAAAAAAAGGGTTATATTTATTGTATTTCAAGACAGTTTTATCATAAAATACCCACTTTTGAAATTCTGTAGTAAGTAGGAATAAGTAAGTCCCGAGGCATCAAATGTTCACTAAATGTTAACGTACGCTACAGCGTACGTTAACACTTAAATCTGTTTATATATATGACTTTTTTATAATTAAAAAAAAAAAGTTATACTCTAAGGCAGTTGCATTATGACAAAAAGAAAGAATTACGCTTGTTAGATTTTTAAAATTTCAAGACGGTTTATTTTGCAATGCTAATAAGAAAGTTCTAAATAAAAAGTATCAAGCGTTTACTTATTAATATAGCCTTTTTTATTTTTGTGTTCAACTCAAACGCTATTATTTATAGTATATCGAAGAAAAAAAGAAAGAAAACATGTACTGTAGCATCCAAGCCGATCTCTGAAAATTTTCTGTTGATTTCACATTTATCATTAATGTACAAAATATTACTAAAAAGCGTGACATGAAGTGATATTATATTAAATATTTTCAATACACTTGTCTCATATTTTACAATTTATTTTGAACAAAATTGTTAGTTCGAGATATAGACATAGAAATATCTACGAACTACGTTTTTACTTTCGTCGATTCTGTTTGTTGACCCTAGAAAATGCTGAAACAAGATAAACCTAGGATGTGTTAAAGTTCATTAGTCTTTGTGTTTAAAAGGAGAATCCAGCATTTTTTTTTCAATGATGCTTTACTTTTACTTTGTTTCTTCAAGATGCAAGTCCTTGCCCTTACTTTTTGGCTTCTAAACAAAGATTTCAAGGGGGGGGGGGAATTTATTATTTTTTCATAGCGAGCTAAAAACAAAAAAAGAAATAGATTTTAAAACATTTTCTATAAAAGTACTTGTTTGATATCAAGGATTATATTCATTTATTTTCTCATATTAATTTTTTTTTTAAAAATATTAATTATTCATTTATTTTCTTCCATCTAACAGGAAAAAGTCAAAACAAACATTTCTATTTACATATTACTTTAAGATTTTGATGAAACTTTTTGTGTTAGAACACAGTACGTAAAATAAAGAGTGAACAACCTGAATAACTTCTGATATAACGATCGGATTTTCACATACTACGACTCAATTTCAATAGTTTGAAGACCTAAGCTGAATTAATGAGTTCATACAATATCTTAAGTTACGAAATCGAACACAGAAATGAATTTCTTATAATATAACCACTATTTTTTCCCCGACCAATTCAGGTTTTGGCCTTGGGGAGTCTTGAAAATTAGTCCGAATAGTTTAGACAGGAGAGCCCTCGAAAGTTTGGATCCCTTAACGTTAATTTCCTGTTTTGCGTATTTCAAGAGATATTTCGATTCATATGTATGTCGAGAACTTTTTAAGCAAAATGAAACATCTTTGCGCACATTGATAAAATTCGTTTATACAAAGATGATCCAATATAAAAAATAATTTTTAATAAATATTTATTACTTTATTTAATAATTGAAAAAAAAAATATTGTTAAGTTTACAATTTTTTACATGATTTTAAATTATGCAATTTTAAACCATAGCATTTAAAATTTGGACGTAATCGGTCGAATAGTTCTCGAGAAATCAAATTTTTAAATACATGACGATTTTTAAAATTTAATAACTCAGAAACTATTCAACCGATTTCGTTCAAATTTTATAATTTAAAATAATATAAAAATTTGCATACCTTAAGTGTCAAATATTTTCTGACCCTTACTAAGTTAAATAATAAAAAAATTATTAAAAATAACGTTTTACATGAAATTATTTTCGGATAAATAAGTATGATTTTGTTTTTATAAATGTTTTTCCTAAAATTAACTTACTTTTTGGACATTCTAGGGGAATTGCGCTGTGGATGTATTTGTTTTTAATTAATATGATCTTTCAGAGATCTTGAAATCTTTGGTATGGCTTAAGTTATGCTAAGCAATAGTTTGATTACATAATGCATTAAAATATCTCCTGGTACTCAATTAAGGAGCCAATTATTAAAGCTACTTAAATATAGCAAAAAATTCAAAAAGAATTTTCAATTAAAATGCTTGAAAATACTAAATTATTTATTTTCGGTCATGGTCTTTAAAAAAAAATATTCTAAATCTCAAAAAATATGGGGTAAGGCTTTTTCCCTTAAACTACACTCCTAATTCGTAACTCGATTTAAACTAAATTCTCTATTAAAAAAACTGTCTTTTTTATTTTTTTTAAAAACTATTTGTTGTTGCAAAAAATTTAAAAAAAATATTAAGCCTCATACAATATTTTTCCATATTATTTTAATGTTTATTTGTAAATATATAAATGGATAGATAAGGATTATTCCATCAAACATATTTCCAGTCTTATAAGCCTTATTACTGGATCAAATAAGTTAAAAAGTTCCAAAAGAAATGCGTAAAAAATTAAATTAATAAGCCTTATTACTGGATAGAATCAGGAGACTATCAGAATGATGCTATGAAAGTTTGAATATGAAACATTGTTATTAATGTTTTTTTTTTTACCCCAATAGCTTTAATTTATCTTTATATAGTTCTCAAAACTTTTGCTAGCATTTTTTATTGGGGGGAGGAGGGGACAGAGGAAGAGTAAAACTAGAAATGCATAAATTTGAAAAATAATGTATTTTCATATAAAATATTTTTTATCTCTAAAATATAAATAAAATATTTTTTTACAATAAAATAAAATATTTTTTATTTTATTATTATTTTCTCAAGCTCTGAGCACTTTAAAAGATACATAATACTAAAAAAGCATCAGAACAATATTTTTTAACAACTTGATTTAGATTCATATTTATTGTGCATTGCAAGTTTAGAGAGTGGGACACTGTATTTTAAGTTTACTTATTCTAGAGGGGATGCAAACCCTAACAGCAACCCCTTTTCAAACAGATTGTTGTTTTTTTCTGTAATCTATGTGACTCAATTTCTCTACTTTTTTATGACATCCATTTTCTGAATTACATCAGGTGCAAGAATTTTAATTAAAAAATAATAATTTATTTTGTATTCAATTATGTAATTAAATGTATGGGCCTTCTTTTTCTTAAAATTTGTCTTATTTCTTAACTATTTTAATAAATATCCTTGTTTGTATTATCTGATGGAATGCAATTTAATAGTTTTCCAGCAATCAAATTACTAACTTAGTTTATTATTTAACTGTAACTGAAAACTACTGATTTAATTTACATAAAAAAATTCTAATATATTTTATCGTTAACGTATATTTTTAATTTTACTAATTACTATTTTGTCTTTTTTTAACAATGTAGGTATTCATTTGTGATGAAGTTTTTCACCCTGAACTCTATTTGATGTTTTTATAAAGTGCGTTGGTTTCAAATCTGTTACAAAGAAAAACAAAACTAAAAACATAAAATTATTAACTAAACTTTCAAAATGAATCGTGAAAGACGAAACAGAACTGAAAACTTCCATAGAACTGAAGCTATGTCCAGTCTTATCAATCAAATAATGTTCTTCATGCTCTGTGACCGGTGGTTCTGCCCACAAGAGAAACTGACTGGACTGTATGCTCTATTATTTTATAACGTGATTTGCTATCTCCTCCTATACACTCAGAGACTTGTCTACCTTCAAGACATAACACCCATCGTTTTTGTCTCAGAGCATTCCAACATCCGCCATTTGGCGATGACTGCTACAAAAGTCATGCTGGAATTCACAAGGGCAGTCACATTCGTAATAACTGGTGTCTTTATGTTGCTGGTATTTGGTCTGGAGCAAGGACTGGAACACTTCAACCCAACTTGGTACTACATCGGAATAACTGCCCTCTACTTCACTCTGACAGAAAGGACTTGCCAGGAGCAAATACCCTCTTTGCTAACTTACCTCAAGTGTGAAAAATTTGACAGCTTGGAGAGCCTGTGGACACCAGTGCTAGTCAGAGTCTTTTCCAGTGTGGCCTCTGGTTTCATGATCCTCTTGGTGTTTGTCTGCTCTCACGAAGATTGGATACTTTTAACAGCAGCCAGTTTCATCAATGTATACATGTGTGCAAAAGATCTAGATCAACATTGGCAAGTTCTAATGAAAGAGAGGTCTAGTATTGATAAATACCGATATGCAAGTAGGCAAGAGCTCACCGATAATGATGATGTCTGCGCTGTGTGTTTACAGGACATGTCGTGTGCAAGGGTTACTCCTTGTCATCACATGTTTCATGGTGATTGCCTAAGACGTTGCCTCAGGGAACGACCCTTATGCCCCATGTGCAAATATGTTCTTGAATAATACATGAGCGAATCATGCAAGAACTAAAATTTAGTTCTTTTGTTTCAAACCAAATTTAAAATTTGGTTTGATACAAATTATGTGTTTATTTTTTCATACTTTTGTACAACTTAAGCATTCTCACTGTCAGTTGAACTGTAATGATCATTGTCAGGCAATCATTTTAAATAGTTTATACAGGGTTCTCACTCGATTTCAGAAAAAAAATTCCCTTACTTTCCCAAGTAATTTTTAATCAAGCATATTTTATCTATAATATGCAATTTCCCTCCAGAAAACTTTAATTTTTTTTTATTTATGTCAAATATCAGATTTTATGAGCAAAAACATATAATAGAATTATTGTATGTTTATAGAATATTATGTTCTGTAATATATTATAGATGTGAATAGAATTATTTAAATCTAGTCTTAATAACTGATTACTGTTATTCACAATTCTGGTTATTTTCCTGGTAAGATATAGGAATTTTCCAGGTTTTTCATTAAAAAAAAAATTACCGTCCAGGTTTTTTGTAAAAAAATTACAACTTTCCTTGATTATTTCATGCTTTTTTAGAGTTAAAATAAAATTCCCTGACAATTCCAGGTTTTCCCTGTTTGCCCTGCCCCGTGGGAGCCCTATTTATATGTTAATGCAATCATTTTAATAATATAAAGTTTGGAATATATTATGAACTTTCCGCTTTTTGGAAATAAAACTTTAGAAACAAATGCATTGTTGGTTACCTTCAAAATTCTTATCAAGCAATTCTTTCAATTGCTAATTATATTCATACTATTTGAAATATATGATATCACTAATAGTTTTTTATTGTAAATTATAGAACAAAAATTCAATTTTTGCTTATAAATATCATTTATTGTTATGCTATTTGTAAAAGTTTTTTTTAATAAATTTACTATGTAAATTAACCCTGTTTCTAATTATTTTGTGACTTACAATTTACAAGCAATTTGAAATTAATATTGACATAAAGCAGAACTAACATAAATAAATTTTCTTATTGGAGTTAAAGTAGTTCCTTTTTTTAAATAATTGTTTTTTAATAAAGTTAATTCAACTATAATTTTCACAAGGATCTTCAACTAAAGTTGCAGAGCTATTTTTCATTTGGAGTTGAGATTTTTTTTCTTAGGTACTTTCTGTTCTGTAATTATATTAAAATACAAAATAAAACACTTAATTGATATTTTTCATGTACTTTTTTTTAAATCTGAAAATAAGCTTCAAATATTTAATTTTATAAAGATTAATGATTAGATTTTATAAAAATATATAAATGATTGTTTTGAACTTCATTAATAAATAAATAATTTCATCTCATGCAAAAAAAAACAAGAATTCATTTGTTAATTGAGAAAAAGTTGACAAATTGAATAAAAAATGTACAAAAAAGAGCTATGATGAATCAAAGAAATGAAATCAGAATGATTTTTTTAAAAAAAATGTAAAATAATGATCAAAATATTCAATATTTATAGTAATAGAAGTATCAAAACTGTATTGGTATGCTAGCATGCAAAGAATAAAGATTAATATTTTAATATGTTAAAAATTTTGACAGTCTGTAATAATAGAGAACATCTACTCATAATAATAAATGCTAATTTTTAGCCCTTTGAAATGCTGATAAACATACAGTTTTAAAACTGCAAAAACAAACACTAAAATTTAAAAACTTAGCATTTATTATTGTAATATCAACAGCAACAAGATTATCTTAATTCCATTAGAAAAGAATACAGAATGCATCACGATTCTTCATAGTTTTCAACTTTCATATCTAAAAGTCCAAGTTCTTCATCTTGTTCCATGGTTCGTTCATATTGTTCGATAATTAAATTATCATCAGAACAAGATTCGTCATCCAACCCCTTTAAAATATTCATAAAGAAAAAAAAAAAAAAAAAATTAGTAAATGCTATTAATACTCACTTATAATCTCAAGTCACATACATTTTATTACTTTACAATGATATGATTTGGATTTATTTTCATCAACATCAATGCACCAATTAGAAAACAAAATTACTCATTACCAAAGAAAACAAAATTACTAAATGTTATTAATATATACTTTTAATTTTTATGCCATGCATATTTTACTACATTAAACTGATGAGCTTTGGGTTTATTTTGATCAATATCAGTGCAGCAATTATCAAACCCCTTCAAAATATTCATAAAGAAAGAAAATTCATTAACTTTATTAATTTTCAATAATAATCTTACATTATGAGTATTTTATTATATTACAATGAAGTGATTTGGATTTATTTTCATTGATATTCAGAGCAGCAGTTTTAACACTTTTGAAGCTACTACTTAACACGTTAAAACAATAATTTTACTAGGTTCAAAATACTAATTTGAAATCATAAGTTAAAAAATGCAGCATCAATATGTAATTGATCAATAAAATAACAGTATCTGGTGCAAATCGGACTCTTTCAAAAGGGGTTACTAGACGCACGTCGAGATTCGGTTGTTGTAATAAATATTAATGTACAAAAATATTGGATTCTAAAAATTATGTGGAATTTGAATTATTTGCCCATCTTGTATTACTAGAGATAAGTCTTTACAACAAGAAAGATGCCAAATCTAAATTATTATAATACTAATGTTAACATTACCCCCATTGAACGAAAAAAAAATAGAAATAATAACTATTAAAAGGTTCGTAAAAACATTTTTTATGAAGTGCTTGACACATTTAATGTTTTAAAAAATTAACAAATAAAAAAGAAAAAGATTATAAATGGAAAAAAAGAATAATTGTATCTCCATTAAAAATTTGTATAGAGAAAAGAATAAGAAAATTTCTAAAACGCAACAAAAATTTGGTTTCTCAGAAGTATTAAGATTCTAAAAAGGTCAAAACACTAAAACTAAAGGATGAAATTCATTAGTATAAATACAGTCAAACTTGTTTATAACGAGCGTGAAGGGACTACAATTTTTCCTTATTACAACCCAGTGCTCATAAGAAATAGGATCATAATAAAATCATACAATTTCATACATACTCTATTAAATAATAATCACTTGACCTGCACTCCAATCTGCCCAGTCTTTCTATTTAAGTTTTATTATCTAGTTGCTTGTTCCCTATCTTAGTGGACCATCGGCCAAAATTTGGGTTTTTTACTGCAATCCTAATTTTTACTTAATTTATCACACTTTTACTGTTTAAAATTTTATCTTGTTACACACCATGTTTTTAACTCGACCCTTATACACCTTCTATTGTCTTGTTCTTAATTATTTTTGCTGTAAATTTTACAACTGGATCACTTTTGTTGACACACTTGGTTTTAACTCACGGTTTTAACTATTCTGGTTTTAGCGTTGTATTTACCTTTTAGCTTGTTTCAATTTTGTATTTGTCTTCGTTAATCCTTTTATGGTTTTACCTTTTAATCATCTGCATCACGCTTTTGGCCAGTCCCAGCTCGGAAGTAGGGGTCCGACCAATATTTGTATTTACCCGCTTGTAACATGGGCATGTGCCTGTATTTTATTTGTTTTAAATTAAGGTTGAATTCCTGTGTTCTGTCAGCCGGGTCCCTTTTTGGAGTTGTATAAGGTTGGTTTGTACAAGGGTCTGTTGACCTAATCCAACTGCCCAGTAATACTTTTATTCCCTTTTATCAATTAGTTGCCATCAATTTTTTTGTAATATTTTTGTGTTTTTTAAATAGATGCCATGGGGGGCTTTGCCGGGTCTATCTGCCGACGCATGTGCCGATTGATAACTGCTCCTTTCCTTCCGCATACCCACATTTGGGGGGGGGGGTCGGGATAAATTCCACCTTAACATACTCTATTAAATATAGCACTTAGTCAATTTATTTTTTATTTCTGTACATTACAAATTAAGTTAGTTTTTCTTAAAAATTGTCTTGTTGTCTCTTTGTTGTGTTATTGTTTTTCAGATAAAACTCATGACCTGAAAATCATTGTCAATACCAAAAGTAATATGTCAACCCCAAAAACATCAAAAATGAATTAGCTGAGCTGGAAAAGTAGAATTAAGAAGAAACATGAATTACACAAATATTGCACATTAAAAACGGGGTTTACCAGTTAAAAGCAGCTTCAATAGATTTAACATTGTATCAATTCAATATTCCAGATTTTTTCGTTAAAATGGAGTTCTCGTTAGATCAGGACTCGAAATAAGAGAGTTCTACTTTATATGCAATATTAAAAGTATTAATTACGCAAGGAAAAAACCTTGATAATTTCAGAGGAAAAACAAGTAATATGCATATAAGTAAACAAATACAGCAAATACAGAATATAAAAAGGGTGCAAATAACTTTCAGTACAATTTAAAATGAATTTTCCCCCATAGCTTTGCCTGTATGCAAAATTTATCATCAAATGCAAAATTTACATAAGATAAGTAAACAATTTATGAAAAAGATCAATTACTTGAATGCAACTGTTCCCACAAGGATCATCTAACACTAAAGTGGCCTGACGCTCTCCTTTTATAATCTAAAATAAATGGATACATAAATGTCATAACAAATATTATTAAATATAAAGAACAGATGAGTCAAAAAAGAGCATAAAAAATTATCAACTTTTAAGAATTTCTAAATAAAGAAACAGCAAGAATTAAAAAAACAAATTTTCATTTAAAATTTTAGCTTCAAAAAAGTTAGTTACAACATTTTATTTCTGTACATAAAACTTTTTTTTTTGAACTAGACACTTAAATTTGTTATAATGAATACACATTAAATTATGCATTATTATTTTGAACATGTTATAATGTTTTCATTTGAATGAAAGAAGTCAAGATGCAATGTTGAAAATTTCTATACTGAAATATTGTTTTAATAATTAAGATGTTTATCTTTAAATCTGCACATATTTTAAACAAAAAGTTTTTAATACTTATTTTAGGAAAAACTTGTTTTATCAATCAGTAAATTATCAAACCAAATAAACTCATACAGAAACTAGCAGATAAGAAAGTCTCCCTATGGAAACATACTCAAAAGTTTTGAAAGGAGATTGATTTAAATTTTTTTTTATTGAGTAAGTTTTAATAGTTATATAGTAATGTTTTATCGTAATAATTTAGACATAACTAATTTATTTTTATTGGATTAATTACTTAGCAATTTTCAAATGGGGGACATTCAGTACATTTCAATTTGCATCAAAACTAATTTTTAAGGTGTTTTCTAATGATTTGGGAGGTAATGTTTCGCATCAATAATGTTACAAATAATCTGACTGAAAAATCTTATTTATAGTTAAAATTCATTTCAACTTTAATTTTCAGTAAGATAGATTTGTTCAATTCAGATTTAACTATAAAAAAAAACACTTTTATTTTTCACCAAAGTTTTTAATTGAAAATTTTTTACAAAAAATTATCATTCATTATTTGTATACATGAGATCCTGTTCTAAAAAACTTTATAAAAGTGAGAATCTTTTCTACAATATTATGACCAATTAACTTTCAATTTTTTTTTCTTTCATACTTTCATCTAAGGTACTTTTTTTGTAGTGACAAATGTTGAATAGAGATGAGCAGTTTTAGCATAATAAACCATAAACAATCACAATGTAATTTCTTCCTATTGTTTTAATGATTATTTGCTGAAGTTATAAACCAATGATTTTCCAATTTTATGGGTAATATTGAGCATTGAATTCTTACATAATTTAATAAATGTATGTTACACTTGTTTTAATTTAATGTAATTCAATTACAATTGTTATTATCCAAAATTTGGTGTTGAGACAGTACAAGACATGAGCTTTACCACAAGACAACTCACAACTTACGATGTTTTCACTAAAATATTTGAAATACTTCAACTTTTATTTTTTGGCTCAACCTAATATGCATTGGAGTAGAATAGTCTGCATTTGAATATTCATTTCTCCAAGAAGAGACATTATACATTAACTAATTACTATTAAAGAACATTTAACTAACTTAGACTTAACATGAATAGTAAAAAAAGAAGAAATTTACCTCATCTATTTTGTTTAGAACGGAATCAAGTTTTCCTCTCATTATTAAATCAGCACTATCACCAGAGATAAAAGGATTGCTTTCAATAAGCTAAAATCGAAGATCAGAAATAATATAAATATATAGTAACAAAAAGGATAAAAAGAAAAAAACAAAGAAAATTAAGATAATTAATAAATTTTGTAATAAATAAGTTATTTTTACTTTTATATATATATGTACACATACATACTAACAAAAGTTAATCCCACTCAAAGGGAACTTAGAGAAATACTTTTAATTTATCTATCCCTTGCAAAAAATCCCTTCAGATTCCTCTCACTATTTTCAAGTTCATAACATGATTCCCACTGGCTATGCACAGTCAGTTTGCTTAGTAAAATATGCATAATTTACGAGTCGAGCATCAAGTGAACTTCGTAGTGTACCAGCGATCTTTTAAAAGGCAGTTTTTTCAATAATTATAGACCTTCAACAAATAATTCACAATAATTTTTCCATGAATATTCCATTTCATGTAAAATAATTTGTTATATTCATTGTGCCCAGGTTCCCAAAAGTTAATTAATTTTAAACAATCCTATAGAAAAATTAGAGGAAATTAGTGAATAACATTTGCCCAAAATGTTTGCAATCACAGACTTACAATGAGAGTGTAAGGCTATAGAGATAAGATATAAATATGACATGGGTAGGATTTTCAGATTCAGTTACGAAATAAAATAACGATATAAATAAAATATTTTGCTGAATCAAAGCATCATTAAAAAAAATAATTTTGAAGAAAAAAAATTTCTACATAATGATTTAACATTAAATGAACTCATTTCTGTTGTGGATACATGATTTTTGATTTATATTTGCATTTTAATCAAATTGTGATCAATTTTAAATGAAATATGAAAGCATTTATGATTAAATTAAATGATATTCAAATATCTGTCATGAATATCAACAGCTTAAAGTACTCCATTAAATATAAAAAAAACCTGAAAATATTATCTGAATCACATACCAATCAAATATTACTACCTACATATGTTCTGAAATAACCATAACATATTTCTGTAGTAAGCTGTAAAATTTTCTGAAACAACTTTTAAAGTCTTCTATCGGAATGATGTATAATTTTGACCTTCTTAATAACTCCAATATCCTTAAACTTTATTCCTTTAACAAATCTTTACAGCTTTAGGGACAAAAAGTTTACAAAAGATTTGCCTGAATAGTTTAATGTATGATTTATCTCAACAGCCTTCAAAACTAAAAGATTTACTAAAGAAACAAGGTTTAAGAATAGTGAAGTCAATTAGCAAGTCAGAAATTCAGATCATTTAACATTAAATAAATTAATTTCTGTTATAGATACATAATTTTTTATTTATATTTGCATCATAATCAAATTGTGATCAATTTTAAATGAAATATGAAAGCATTTATGATTAAATTAAATGATATTCAAATATCTGTCATGAATATCAACAGCTTAAAGTACTCCATTAAATATAAAAAACCCTGAAAATATTATCTGAATCACATACCAATCAAATATTACTACCTACATATGTTTTGAAATAACCATAACATATTTCTATAGTAAGCTGTAAAATTTTCTGAAACAACTTTTAAAGTCTTCTATCGGAACGATGTAAAATTTTGACCTTCTTAATAACTCCAATATCCTTAAACTTTATTCCTTTAACAAATCTTTACAGTTTTAGGAACAAAAAGTTTACAAAAGATTTGCCTGAATAGTTTAATGTATGATTTATCTCAACAGCCTTCAAAACTAAAAGATTTACTAAAGAAACAAGGTTTAAGGATAGTGAAGCCAATTAGCAAGTCAGAAATTCAGATCATTTAACATTAAATAAATTAATTTCTGTTATAGATACATAATTTTTTATTTATATTTGCATCATAATTAAATTGTGATAAATTTTAAATGAAATATATTGAAAACATTTATGATTACATCATTAGTCCTTAAGAAAGTCAAAATTATACAGCATTCAGATAGAAAACTTTATAGGTTATTTCTGAAACTTTCACATCTGAGGATAGAAATGCATTATGGCAGCTAGAGATGACCTCAAAATATATTAAATGGGTATGTAATTCATATAACATTATTGGAGCAATTAAACCGGTCCTGGAAATTGATGTTATTCATTAGTGATTATTTTAATAAATGAGCATAATGAACCATGATTATATGGGGAGTAAAAAAAATCCACTAATTGAGCTTCTTCCTTACCTGCTCCTTAATGGTAGTTAAAATTCCTTCAACAGTTGAATAACAACTTCTAAATGCAGCAGGACCAGCTTCTAGATCTAATTCCTTTATACTGATACTGCAGGTGTCAGACTACAACAAAAGAAATTTGGAGTAATTAAAAAGATTTTTTTTTTCAAGAAACATAAAATATATTTTTTATTGATTTAGAAATAATAAAACTGACACAATTTCAAATTCATGTAGACATTTGGACAACAGGAACAAGCACTCGGAAAAGTTTTTTGTAGCCAGGGACATACATTTTATTATTAATTATTCAGTTGTTTATGCATAAAATATATTACAAACCACTTCTGCATAAAAAGTAATACTTGACATTAGAATTGAAAATAAACAGTTTTTAAAAAACAATATATTACACAAGACTAATTACTTTTTAAAAAAAAAAAATTTTTTTAACAGTATTTTAATAAAAATTTCTTGTTCTGTAACTAATCTAATAACAATTTTTTATTATTTTTCTAATTATATTATGTTTCTCTCTCTAGATTTATAAACAAACCTTTAAAAGATCTCTAGTCAAATCCTTGTGTTCTTTTATACTAAGTATAGCCCTAGATCCAAGAGGCCGAATTCCTGATGAGCTTTTAACTTCAGTTGTTTTATGACCACAAGCCTCACAGTTTGTAGACCATATTATGACATTCTCAAAGTGTGGTATCTTTGAACACAAATTAAAGAAATTAAATCAAATATTTGCATGATTTGATAAAAATGGAAGAGCTGCAGAAAGAAAATAAAACACACAAAAAAAAAAAAATTTAAAAAAAATATGAAAAAATCAAAAAAGTTTATTTTGAAATATTTCTGAAACTAACAAAAATATTGTAGAAATACTGTACATAAGGCCACAAATATAAAAATGAAACATAACCAACTTTTAGCAAGATACTTTTTAAAAATATCTCATATTAACAGGATGTGACGCAATTTGAAGAAAGTTTAAATGGAAGAATTAAAATTAAAATAATTTTTTTCTTATTTAACTTCAGAAAAATGTTGTAAAAAGTAAAGCTAAAAAAGTTATACAATAGGTTAATAAAATAAGTCATATTTAAAGGCTAATTTTTATAAAAGAACATTATTATTAATCACTTTAAAATATACATTAAAATAGACACTTCAAAGGATATCAGTAACTTTCATGTTAGTTACACAGGGAGCATTACAAGAATAACAATTTGTTGGCAATCCTAAAACTTCCTCAGTAATTTTTTCTTCCTCCCCTCCTTCCACAGTTTCCTCAGAATCCTAAGATAAGTTTTAAACAATGTAAAATAATCTTTTTTATTAATTTAACTACCTTTTTTATTATATTAGTAAATAGTCTTTTTTTATCAGTTTAAGCATAAAATTAAATTTTTCAGAAATGAATAAATTAGAAAGTGATTATGCATCTTACATTGAGTCCCATCATCAAGCATTCCTCGTGTGATTGAGCAAAATATGATATTTCTAACTGGGGATCAGGATTTGGAGCAGATCTGTAGTATTGTTAAAAAATATTAAATAAAGATAACAGATTGTTTTATTTCGAAGTTAATGAGCAGAAATTTGTTCCCATAATACACCTTAAACATATGTTTCTCATTAACCCTTTATATCTCAACACAAAAGACTTGCTAGCACATAATTTTAAGTGCAAAAAAATAATTGCAAAAAATTAAATATTAAAATTAAAAATTTATTGAAAGAATACTTTGTTTCTACTACAACATAATGCAAAATGACAAAACATTGATTTCTGCAACATTATTGTTAAAATGACTATTGTTAAATGACATTGATTTGTTAAAAATGACTAAGATTCATACATTCAAAAATTTCCATTCAATTCAATTCAAAAACTTAAATTTGAGTAATATGCCTGAAACAAGCATGAGCAACTTTGCAAACAAAAAATTGAACTTTTATTCTAAAAATCACCTCACTATCACTACATAATAGAAAAAAGTTCAATATATGTTAAGAGTAATGTTATAAAATTGCAATAACAGCTGAAATCGTCCTTTATAACTAATAAAAAAATACATAAATATGCTTTTTATGTTTGTTGCAGGCATGCAACACCGTGTCCTAGAGTCAAAAGCTAATTCCTTTACTTTCCATGTTAACAATAAAGAATTAAATGTATCCCACTGTTCTATTTACAATAAGGTAACTATTCTATTTACAATAATATTGGTAACAAGTTCTTTGGGGAACTTTTTGTTTCATCTTACTCTTCAAAATGTATTTTATGGAACTTATTCTCCCAATTTTTATTGTTAGGGTTTCAAACATTTTTCAAACTCTACAGAAAAGAACTACTGGGAGTTTTAAATTTTTTTTAATAATGATCATAATAAAATAACTAGTTTCTGATAAAGAATCCTTTTTTTATTAATTAGTCCTTATAAAATTATCAAGAGATTTTTCAATTCGATATCAGAAGGTGAAAATGAAGCCTGAAATTGAGAAATGCAACAATTTCATCGAACTCAGTGAGTAGACACACAAGCGGACTCGCAAATATTTTATCAAACAGGTAAAATGTTTGGCACTTTCATACGCTATGGACCGAGAGTACACCGAAATAGATTGCGGTTGAATGAATTGTGAAAACGCTGAATAAGACAATAAGAAAATCATGCTTTTGCATAATACATGGCAAAAATCGACAAGGTAAAGAAAAAAAAATCTCATCTTGGAAAAGGGAAAATTAAGCACTTTTTAAAAGCACCCAATGAAAAAAGCCACTTTAAGGGCTCTTAAAATATGAAAATCAAAAATAAGCACCCTTAAGAACTTTTTAAAAATGCTACACACCCTGTTACCAAATCAACAATAGTAGCTTTGAAAAATTTTAAAAATACTTAAAACCTTAAAAATTTAAATTCTGCTACTTAGTTTCATACAAATGCTATTTAATAAATTTTTATTTTTAGGGTTTTAAGTATTTTTTTAAAATATTTTCAAACTTTACTGAAGCCATTATAAAAATACTTTAATATAAATGCTTATGCATTGAAAAAATTTAAAAAAATACTTATAACCTTAAAAATTAAAATTTGATAACTAAGTTCCACAAAAATACATTTCATAAATAAAATGAAACAAAAAGGGTTCAACTATATTGATTTGTTATTTAAAAAAATTGAAAAATGGTATTTGTGTAATTCTTACATAATAAAAAAGAGCTTGGCTCTAAGAGATCCTCAAGAGCAACTATACTGATTGAGAACCATGTATTTTCAATAAGAATATTTTTTTTTTAAATTTCTATACAGCTCACGAAATCAACACAAATCTGACTTAGACTACTATGAGGTAATAGTCAGTGGTTTTCAGGGATCAGCAATTGATCACCATGAGTTGAGTGTAAAAAAATGGTATGCTGGTTTAGCTTTTTGCTTTGATCTATGTTTCTGAGACAAAACAGCATGCTTGTTGCTCATTGTCAGCATTACACAATCTTTCCAATTTTTAACTAATTTATTCTTAATAACTTTTTTTAAACTTTTAATATTTAATATAATAATCTTCTTATAGTAAGTAAAATTTAACTCCTTTATTGTTATGGAAAAATAAAATATAAAACTCCATTTGCATGTTTTGAATAATTTATAAAAAATTAACATTGTAATTGTTAATTTAATTCAATTCATAATCTTTTAAATATATATGAGATCTAATTAAAGGTGTGTGAATAAAGCAGTAAAGGACTAACTAAATTAACAAATTCTGTAAGTTACTGATTCAAGGATCAGTGATTCAATTTTCTTAACTTCTACGACTACTAATGATTCTGCATTAAAATAAAAAACAAGAATAATAAAATAAGTGTATTTGTTTATTGTTATTTATTTGTAACTAAGCTGTTCTTATATACTTTAAAATATCCTTTTTATTACCTTACAAAAATTACTTTTAATGAAATTGCCCTTTTCAGATAAATCAAAGCTTATTACAATTGAAAATAAGAAGGTACTATAGGACTGGGAATTTCTTATGGCAGATTTATTATATTTATGTTTTCGGCTTTGCTTAATTAGGTTTTCGGGTTTGTCTGAAGAATATTATAAGAGAATTTCTGGTAAATGATACAAATGAAGAACATATTGGTTAATATCTTTTAATATAAAAAAATATATTCAATATTTTTTATGATATTGAATTTTATAATACTGTAAAGATATTGTAATAATTTATTCCAAAAGTACTCTTTATAATTGGGTATTGGCTGCATGCGAAACAGCTAACTTGTTTTATAACACTAATATGCTGCATTTTTTAGACATTGAAAATATAAAAGCATACAAAATCAGGGATCTGTCCAGGCCGAATTTACTACCGTTTAGCGGTACCTTCACAAATTCAACTTTAGAAGAAACGGTAGTTTCACAAATTCAATTTTAGGAAAAACGGTAGTTTCACTAAATAATTTTTCTTAAAATTTCATTTTTGTATCCCTTAAGAAACGATAAATCCATATTTTTGTGTTGATTTTTAAATATAAATTTTAATTTTTCACAAATTATGTCTTAATTTTCACAAAATAGGTACCTCTCAGAAAAACCTAGACAGACCCAGTAAAAGTTACATTACATATAAAACACTTTAAACACTCTACAAATTAAACAAGAAAAAAATATTCAAGTAAATATAATTGAGTGATAATAATTTCAATTGAGACTCAATTATGACATTTTTTAAGGACTTAATTTAAAAAGGATACAAACTTTGCAAAAAACTGTTGCCTGAACAATCTCTTAAGGCCTGTAATGAAACATACAAACAATAAAAAAAAAATCTAAATTGAGGGTAAATTATGTCAGATGAAGCAAAGTTGCATAAAATTCAAATTTAAAAAGAAACAGTAAGTTATGACAAATTAATCAAGAGTGCATCACAAGACCAAGGTTAAATAGGGTTCACGATTCTCTGATTATCCATTGGAACAAATTTAAAAAATAATTCACACAGCTAGACAATGCATCAATAAAAAATACATTAGAACAATATTGGAGGGAAAAAACACCCATGAAATTTTAAAAGCATGAAAATTTAAAATTTCTAAGCATAAATTGTAATTTCTAAGCATAATACAAAATCATTATCTTTTCTACACACTATACAACACCCTTTAATTTTATATTTTACCTAGAAATGAAACTCAATGTTTTTATAATTCCCAATATTTTAAAGAATTTTAAAACAAAAGGCAGTTTAAAATTAACCACTTGCAAATCTTGAAAAAAAGGAAAAAATTTTATCTTAAGTTCAGAAATAATAAAATAAAATAAATCAATATCTTCATTAAATTACATTTTTATCTAAGAAAAATGATTCAAATATTAATTAATATTTTTTTTTAAAAAATTATTGCAGTGGAAAATTAACCATTATGCAGAAAAGAATTTAAGTAAAAAAATTATAGTATTTAGAAAAAAATTAAAGCTTTTTTCTAATAAAAAAGAGGCATCCTCAAATTTCAGTTTTCCAAATAGTCTCAGATTTAAGCTAATTTGAAATCCATTGAGCTTCCCAAATTCTTCCCCAAGGCATAAGAATTCTGATAAACACATTCGTAATTGGGAAATAAAAATATAGATAAAATGTCATTCTACTTAAATAAAATACTTAAACCTATGAAAATAATAATTTTTATTTATCTATTGATTTTTACTAGAAATGTACAAGATTCTCTAAAAAAATCCATTATTACACCAGAATAAATTCTGTTAAATTGCTTAAACATTGTAAGCAGTAGTCAATTCAAGCGGAAATCGGGACCGCTCTCTGGCCCTTACATAAAATTCACACTCTAAAAAAGGGCCTTTTCAAAAAATTAAAACTCTAAAAAATGGCCCCTTCACAAAAGTTAAATTCTAAAAATCAGCAACTTCACAAAATCCACCTTTGAATAAAAATGGCCCAGAAGCAGAATATTTTCAAATGTTCTGCAACAGGACTTATTAATTTATACAAATGTTCTGCAAGCATTTCACAGCGAAAAAGAGTCAGCTTTACGTTAAAATACTATATTTTCATTTATTAAAATACAGGATCTTACACAGATACTCTACATTATTTTTTAAACTAAGGCAAATATTCTTGATTTGCTACTTTTTCGCTGTCACTTATTCAAGATACAAATTGTTCTGCAGGACTTCGTTTGTTCTGTGACGTACGTCACAGTTTCAGACACTTTCTGCTTCTGGGAAAAATGGTCCCAACAAAATCATAAGAAATGGCCCCTTCGTGGAATTTCTTTCGATAAAATGATCACACAAAATTGTTTAATGATGGGTTCTCAGAAAAAAATCAGAAACACGATTTTACAATAGCATCAACTGGAATCAGAGGTGCCAAAACTTAAATTAGAAATTCCCATATTGTGAAAGCATAATAATAATATCCGAGTCAGAAAAATCTTGCGAAAAAGACTGCAAAATGATAAGTGAAAGCCAACAAAATTATCATTTAACAAGGTGAACTTATGATGGATTCATCACAAATTAAACACGTCAAAGTATGATAACTTAAATTCGAATGTCATATAAAAAATAACTCAGAAAAACTATTTTGAAATGATGTAAATTTACCTTCAAAATGACATTGTATAAAAAATTTTAGAATTTGAAAAACCATGAGATAAGGACTGCAAGAATTATAAACAACTACAAAAAACAAAAAAAAAACTATTATCAACCACCTTGAAATATATGACAGAATCGTCACAAATTGAATATGCTAAAACTAATAACTCTAAATCAAAATTTTGAGCATCGTAACACTATTGTATTAAAAATTGCGGAATTTAAAAAAACCATGTCAAAGGATCCGAAAAATAACAAATAAGTACCAAAAGATTACCATCAAACGTAGAATCATCACAAATGGAACGTGTCAAAAAGTGATACCTCAAATTCAAAACCCACTTGTCGTAGCAATGTATTAAATATGTCGGTATTAATTTGAAAAATCATATGAAAGCAACTGAAAATAAATCATCAAAACAAGTAGATACTTACAAAAACTTCACAAAAATAGTTTTGATCTTTTACAAAAATAAGCCCCAAAAAATAAAACCTGGATCAACGTGGCAAAAAACACTAAAAATAATAATATTGCTTCCAAATAATTCTTCAATTAAAAGTAGTACTATAATACTGGAAAAAAAACTTTACCCTTATTATACTTTTTGGTCCTCAAATGCAAAAACTAAAAGAAATTATGAATTATTATTTTTGAAGCAAAGAAAGATTAATAATCTCTACTACGAAGAAGAGTATTTCATAATTAAATCAATAAATAAAGCAAGAAAGAAAATTAGGCTCATTAATAAAAAATATGCCTCAAGCAAAATTACACAAATTGCGATCATTATTTAACACAATTAAAATGTGATTTTGGATTAATAAATAATCATTTTTTAAAACTTTAATCCTAAAATTATTGTTTTTGTAAAAAAAAAAAACAGATTAAAATCCTTGCTGACAAGATATAAAATAAAACAAATTAATAAATAAATAATAAATATACAGAGAGAGTAAAAAAATTTAAGCAAAATTATTTAATAAAAAAATATTTACTTAGAACTTACAAAAGTAAACGGATGATTACCATCTTTAAGCTTATTAATTTCAAGCAAAAATTCAGCTAATTTTTCAGCAGAATCAGGATCTTCTTTCTGAAAAATGTTGCATTAAAAATAACATTAATTCAATCAAAAGAATTCACAAATTATTAAATTACAATGAAAACTAAAGGTAGAATTTGAGGAGTTAAAAGGATGATTATCGGACAAATAATGAACAAATAATTTTTGAACTAAATTGACAAATATGGATCAAATAAGAAAAAAAAACAATCTTGAGACTTTAATTTACATTGTTAGCATATTGATGAAAAAATAACTTTAATTTAAAAGGAAAAGAACAAAGCCAAAATAAGTGTAGAAAAAGAGCAAAAGCAGTGCTTGCCAAACCTTTGATCCCGTTATACTATAGCTGGTGGAATCATTTTTGGATAATCACTCTAATGCTCCAGTTAGCAAACCTTGATTTATCCACTGAACTAACAGATGTAACTTAAAATTTTTTTATTTAAAAAAGTAGATATTTCTTTTAGCAGGTAGCTCACAGTAGGTTTTAAAAACAGTACAGTAGCTTCTTAAATTTTGCGACTACTGATCAAAAGAATCAAATCAAATGTCAAATATTCTATGGACATTCCACTCTAAGTGGATATCCTAAAGTGCTTTTAATCTTTTGTAATTTTTGTTTCACAAACACTGAATATTGTTTGTTTCTTTTTTCAATGAATAAAAAGTAAAGTGGAGACATTTAAACATAAAAAAAAATAATGAGGGTAGAGATATGAGGAAAGGATGATAGAAGATAGGAGGTACTTCGTGCCACATGTAATAAAGTGAAACCTGATTAAAGCAGAAATAAAAGTACAGAAGTGGACACATTATAATTTTGGCTCAAGAAATAAGAATCTTCCTTGGTGTCTCATAACAAAATGACAGTAGAAAAGTAAACAAATCGTCTACTGCCATTTTGGTTACTTTTCTACAATTTTACATTGCAACACAGTAGAAGATTCGTATTTAAAGAACTGAAACTATAGATTGTCCATAACTGTACTTCTATTTATGCTCTATTCACTTTATTTTACTCTACTACAGTTGACTTTATCAACCTAAAGAGTATCCACATAACTACAGTTGCTGAACCACCTAATTCAACACATAAGTTTACTGAAGTTGATTCAAAAATCTCCGTCTTTTCTTCTATAATTGAAATTCTTGAATAATAAAAAATGATTGAATTGAATTTATATAACGATTTTTTATTATTAATTTTAAAGATATCATAATGAAGGGAAAAAAACTCCATACCTGAAGCTGCTCAATTTTTGAATTAAGTCCTAAGCAAGTCCTTTCAATTACACCTTCAACAGTTGTTATAGCTAAAAAGAAAACAATGCTCATTATTGATAAAAACAAAATTATACTGCAAAATAATCAATCAAATAAAAAAAAATGGGAGACATTTAAAAAGAGAAGGCTTCTTTTCGCATTGACAGGTAGAATTGTGTAAATATGACGAATTAGTGACAAAGAAATTCAAGAAATGCACAATAATTTCTGCAGTTTAAAGATAACCAAAAATCAATCCAGTTTCAAACAGAAGTTACTGTTTATAAAGATCAATTTATGCAATTTAATAGAAGATAGAAAAATTTATCAATCCACATTTTTTTAGAGGTGCCACCTTTCTAAACTAGCTATCAGTAACCAGAAGAACAATAATATATAAAATGTTAAGAAAATTCAGATTAGCACAATTTTAAAGTCTTTTAACTGTTTGATTCCATTTAGTATAATATGTCTAATATTAATATTATGCAGGAATTTACAGTTTAATAACCTTTCTTTCTTACATCTCACTTTATGTTGTTTGTATTTGTTGAAGATTGCGTTCTTCTCTTAGGTCAAATTTTATGCCTTTTTATTACTTTTCAATTAGATCTATATTTTCTCTTTAGTTTGCCCTTTAACAATGACACCAATGCTTAAAGTACCAAAATGTCTCTTGAATTAATTACAAATTCAGCTGTTTCTAAATTAGTATAACATGGACTTTTTTTTAAAAAATATACTCACTTCCTTCTTGACTTTGAGAAGGTATTTCAAATTCTAACTCAGGTATAGTTATAGATGCCCAGTCAGTTTTTACCACAACTCTGGACAAATCCTATAATAAATGTATCTGAATAGATATATATTCACTAATTAGGTTTATTGGACTAATGAAAATTGCCACAAAATCCACTGCTATAAAGGTTTAAATTAACAAGAAAAGTAAAAAATTAAAAATAATTAAGAAGTGCTCTTTTCAGATAACGAAAACATACTACTAAACTAAACTAAACTCAGTGGTGCGACAGCCCATAGAGGGCCAAGGCCTACTGTGCCAATCTCAGTTTTCTTGACCTTGGGCTCTGGGGTGCAGGAGCGAGCAGATGTTGCGGTCAGGTGGTCAGCCGAACGCGGAACCCCCAGTGTTTAGTTCCCAAGCATGCTTGGTACTCATAACTCAAAACTGGTACACTTGGTACAAAACATACACATCTATATTTTTAAAAATGTTTATTGAAATTTATTTATAAAAACAGCCAAAAAATGATTTGCCATAAAGTTTTAAGTTTACAGGAAAAAAGAAAAATAAGTGGTGCTCCGTCAAAATTAGAAAAGGACTCAGCACAAATGAATTATGTGCTTTAATGAATTATATAATTACATTAAAGAATAGTATATTCTTAGTTTAAATAGGTATTTATTCTTGTTAACATACGTGTGACACAATTAAAAAAAAAATTACTGATACAAATTCATCAGCATAATTAAAGAAATTTAATGATTTTACGCAAAAATATTTATTAATTTTATAAAAAATTGAAAGATGTCAAATTAAGTAAAAATATTGAAAAATTTCTTGCTTGCATGAATTTTAAAAGATGCAAAGTCCCTCATAAAAAACAAAATACATTTAAAATACAGAAAAAGAACAATATAAAATTAGTCATTAAAAGAATAAAACCCAAGCCAAAAAATATAGAAAAGAATATAATTTTATAGAGACATTTATAACATTTTCTTTAATTAAATTTACCAAATGATTTAGAACAATTTAAGAAAATACTTTGTTCATTTCATTTACCAATACAATATCTTAATTTCATTCCATTATTATGCACAAAGAATTATTTAAAATATTGTAAAAATTGACAGCATAATATTGACAAATAAAATAAAATAAAAAAAAGATAGAATATAAAGCTAAATCTTACAATAATTAATATATTAAAAGAAGTAGACATATAAAAAACTTGAGACTATATAACAAAATTATGAATTTCAAAAAAATAATACCTTTGGCTTCAATACTTTTAACTTGTATAAAACACCCTGGTCTTGAATTTTAGATGCAGGCTGAAGTGAATTATTTTCCCACAAGCAGTGATCACAAGAAAATGACATAACAACAACTTCTTTATAAAAAGGAATTTTAGTTAACAACATTCTTGTGATACCCTAAATAAAAGATATATACATAATTATTTAACAAAAGAAAATACTAAACACATATAAAATAAATTTATTATTCATTCTTTCATTTGCATTGATTTTTAATAAGGATTATTCTTTTAATGGTACATTGCAAAGGTAAACTGAAAAAATAATGTTTTAATGCTGTTTCAGTTAACTAGTTTAATCACCTTGTTGTAACAGATTTAAATTAACAGAGTTGTGCTACGCTATCTCTAGTAATTTTATTTTATAACCATCGTTGAACAGTCGACCCAATTTTGGGTTTACGACTACTAATGTTCAACTACATAGCCTTGTAATTTTGAACCAATCCAGAAGACATGGAAACTCCTGGATCAGTACCCCCAGAGGTATGATTTGTTATGGGAACATGGAGGACTTTGTGACTCGGCAGATTTAACGTGCATCAGTCACCATTTACAACACGGGTAGTCTTCGGCCGATGAGGATCGAACCCACGCCCTCTTGGACATGGGCTCAGTACCCTACCAACCAGGCTATCCTGCCCCTATCTCTAGTGATTATATATTCCACTATACATATTTAAGTAAAGTTAAATTGTATTTATTGTAGTTAAGTTATTTAATTCAATTATTACTATAAGGAGCCATAAATAAATTACAGTATTTCTGTAGCTCATCATAGGATGTATAGACAAATAAACTATACAGATTTAAATATAGCCTGAATATGCTTAAGGCATGTTATATACAAGGGTGGGATTATGTTACGAAGAAAACTATTACTTCAAAACAATAGAAGAAACTGGACAAAATAGAAGAAACTAAACATTACCATTACAATTATTTAAAAATAGGTATTGAAAGAATAGTTTAAAATTAAGAAAATTAAATTTAATATAGTATCAAACTTGAATGTTTTTTCAAAACTATTTCTTTTTTTTAAAATTAACTTTCTTCATATTATTTTTTCTTTCTTTTATCATAGCTTTTTTCATATGATTTAATTTTACACAAAAAGTTTTAAAATTCATATTCTATATTATTTAAGAGTCAGTTTTAGTATATTTATATTTAGCAGTAAGTTTTAATAATTAAAATTAGTACGCTGTTAATAATTATGAATAAGTCATTTGTTATACAGTAAATATGTTTAGCATGTGATTTATTAATTAAATAATTTCATAGAGTTTGATTATTGATATTTTAGCAGTTCCTTACGTAACTATAAAAATAGGTTTCATTACATTCTTTTCCATGAAACATTGAAAGAAATTATTAATTATTTTGATTTTCAGAGAAATTCATTTAATTTTCTTTCCAAATGTTTCTTTTTAGGGGGATATTTCTTCATTAGTACCTGTTCACACTAACTACAATCATTGAGGTTTCCCCAAAAAAGTTTAAACTTGCAAAAGAGAGAGGTTTGTTCAGAGCCCAGGGTGGTTACAAGTTATGCTCTTCTAGTTGATCTACTTCTATGATTTTTGCCCCTTAGTTTTTCACAGGCCACAGCTCATAAATGGCTAAAACTTAGCAATTATTTTGGCTTAAGTACTGATAAAGATATCTTCCCCTCTTTAACTTTAATTTAAAAAATGATGCAATAAATAGATTTGAAATAAATACTATAATATTTGGTATTTTTCATGGAAAAAGAATATCTTCCATTTCTTACACTCGAGTTCAAAGGATTCTATATCTTTCTGAGCTGGTTTTCTCATCGTGGAAGAAAATTGTCTAAAATATAATATTATGTTAACAATAAATCATTGAAAGTTTTTTTGGTTAAAATAAAAATGGTTAATTAAGTCATTTTCATTTCATAAATTATTAAATGAAAGAGATGTAATTGCGTATTTTTTTTGTGTTAAAGCTCATTACGGAAACAAATTTTCATTTGATCAATAAAATTAAGTATGTATTTGTTAGACAAAAATTTCTTTCTCACAAATTGCAACAAAAAAAATATATCCTATATATTTTTACAATTGTAAAAAATACAAAGAGAATACAAAAATACATAAACTTAATATAACTATGTATAACAAAGCAAATTTTAATTAAAATAAGGAAAAATTTTCTTATGAGCATACATATCAAAATATAAAGCCTCTTCGTAGCATTTCGCGATTAATGATTGCAACTCGAGAATAAAAATGCGAATTATTGCGGCCACTTTTATTAATTAATAGAAGAAAGGAGCTAGAATATTTTTATTAGGTATTGTTACAGCTCAATATCAGATTATATAGTTTAGTATCAATATGGTTTTTAAATAGTCAACTATAATACAAACATTTTTATTGCACTGTAAACATAAACTTTCTATTTCAGTAACTTCAGGATCATCAGCATTTAAGTCCCGAAAAATAACATCTAACTTCTTGGACTCAGATTTTTCTAATTCACAAGTCGCCATTTTATAAAAGCTTATTTATGCTACTTTTATAAATATTATACTAGATTATAATTTTACTTTTTCAGACAATCGCATTTGGATTGCGCTTTTTTAAACTTTAACACATGTAAGCATTAAGCATTAGTAAACTTGAGGAACGTTTCTGGCTTTCTATTCTGTGCTCTTTATTTTCTTCTCTTGATTTCTCTATTCTTAATTCTCTAAATTTCCTCGGCCTACAAACTGAAATATTTCAACAAATTTATTTAATAAAAGTTTTTTCAATAAGTTGATAATTATGTTTACACTTTTTTCTTATGCTTTGGTTGAACAATTAGGATGGTTTACTTAAGCATGACTAATTTAAGGAATAAAGTGACCACATTTTCATTGAGACAAATAAAATTAGTA